TTCCTTTCCTTTCCTTTCCTTTCCTTTTCTTTCTTTGCCATTAGCTACCTTTTCTTTTCTTTTCTTCTCTTCTTTTCTTCCTTCTTGCAATTGTTCATCCTTTCTTCCATCCATCCATGCTTCGACCGTTCCCTTTCCCTTTCATTTTTTCTTTCTTGTATAAAATGTTGTACTACGTGTTTGCTACTGTGCACATCAAACTAACATTTTCTTGTCTTTTTTTACCATGCATTTCATAGCACATCCGGAGTAACAGATTACTATGCTGTCAATGACTTGCATGCTCTACATGAAGCAAGAAACTGTGTAAAGAATCTTAACTATAAAAAGAATCCTCAGGTATGTTTATCAAGTTGCTAAATAATTTGACAACCTCTCATTTGATTACTAAAATGTGCAGGTAAAGGCAGTCTGATCTTCTCTGCAGTTATTTTGAAACCCTACATGTTGTCTGGCTGAAGCTCAAACCCATGTCTGACCAGTCAACAGATCTTCGAATTTTATCAATCCCTGAAACAACATTTGGACTGATCTAAGCCAGAGCATGGCTAACTCACAGATCGAATTATAATGGGGAGGGCAGAGAAAAACCTTCGAATCAAGGGAGAGACTTTACAAATTCAACTTACATGTGATTCCGAGTCCAGGAATCAGTTTTGTCTCAGGACTGGGGCTTGTTCCAATGTAGTCAACAGACCAGCCATCGGCCCACTCCAATCCATCTTGTCCACTACTGTAAAGCAATCAAGCAATCTATTTGAGCCGGGCTCCTTTGCTGCTGTTGATCTGCATGCTAACAATTTGTTTTTCTGTTTGTTTGTATGTTCTAATCCAGGTGACCATTGAACCCCCAGAGGATCCTCTCTATGACGCTGATGACATCTATGGCATAGTTGGCACAGATCTGAAGAGGTCCTATGACATCAGAGAGGTACATCTACATTTCCTGTTTTAGAGCCACTTTCTTGAGTGATTTTACCTGTCTGTACTGGTATATGGTTTGGTGGAGTACTCACAGTGCTCTTTAGTAAGAAACTATTTGAATTCACAGAAATTATTATCATTTGTATCTAGCTGAAGGAACTCAGAAAAAAATCAGAGTCCCTGATAGGAATCACACCCATGACCTTCTGGAAACCTGCCGGACACTCTAACCACTGAGCTACAGGAAAGACTCGTGACCTGAGCAGTCATTTACTGGGTTCACAAGTTGGATGTTCATATTCATTTGGTTGTCCTGGAGCTAATCTAGATTATATATTCTCTCGTCTCCAGGTGATTGCACGAATCGTTGATGGGAGTAAGTTTGATGAGTTCAAAGCCTTGTATGGAGATACCTTGGTTACAGGTGAGGTAGAACTTACACAACACCTCCTTTAATACAATGATAGTGATGATAATGGTGGTGGCTGTGATAGTAATGATGATAATGACGATGAAGGTGTATATGTTTACATTGATGATGATGATGGTGGTGGTGGTGGTGACAATGATGATGATTATGATGGTGGTGGAGGTTGTGACGATGATGTTGGTGGTGATCATGATCATGATCATAAAGGTGTGCATGTTTACATTGATGATAATGGTGGTGGTGGTGGTGACAATGATGATGGTGATGATGGGGATGATGATAATGATGATGAAGGTGTATATTGATAATGTTGTTGTTGGTGGTGGTTGTGTTTGTGACAATGATGATGGTGGTGGTGATGAAGGTGTATATGTTTACATTGATGATAATGTCATCGGTGATGACAATGATGATGTTGGTGATGGTGATGATGATGATGATGAAGGTGTATATGTTTACGATGACAATGGTGGTGGTGGTAACAATGAAAATAGTGTTGATTATGATCGAGTTTGATAATGTACATACTCTTATCTGTAGGGTTCGCTCGAATCCATGGCTATCCTGTGGGAATCATTGGTAACAATGGTGTCCTCTTCTCGGAATCGGCGCTCAAAGGAACACACTTTATTGAGCTGTGCTGCAAACGAAATATACCTCTCCTTTTCTTGCAAAATATTACAGGTAACAAAAAGATTAATCTCTTTTCTCTTTCCTTTGGCCAGACTTACACTTAGTTCTTATAATATCCGCTCAGAATGTGCTTTCCTTGCTTAAAAATATCTGCAAATAGTTGTATCGCCTCATTTAAAGACATTGAAGGGCCTCAACAGGGCTCAGTTGCGGCTGTCAAGTGTCACCCTTCTCATAAAGTCGTCAAATGTTGTTATGGTCGTGGCTGCATATATGAGCCAATCAGAGCGAGTTTTTAAAGCTTTCAATATCCAATCATCCACACGTACAAGATTTATAAATATTTCTCTTTCAAAAGCAGGCTTGTTTCCCGTCACCTCTTTAGGGGACATTTTAACTAGCGCTTTGAATGTGAGTGAAAGAGGGCTAAAATTCATATTAGTATTTAAACAAACTGGAGTGCAATTTGGTCTGAAATCATACGAGTGATTACAAAATTGCACGACCGTGTGGCTCTTCAAAACAGTACGATTTAAAATTCAAAATGGCGTCATTCGGGATTTAATCACACTGCTGAGAGCCAATCACTACTGGCAGATATCAGAAATCACCATAACTCGCCTTCAAATAGAGAGTTTAGCTCATTAATATGCAACTAATTGCAGGTTTTATGGTTGGTAAGGAGTACGAAAAAGGTGGCATAGCCAAGAACGGTGCAAAAATGGTGAATGCTGTGTCGTGTGCGCAGGTCCCTAAGATCACCGTCATCATTGGTGGCAGCTTTGGGGCAGGAAATTATGGGATGTGTGGACGAGCATATGGGTATGTTATACACCGAATCGAAAATTGGCGGCCAATTTGAATAACTATTGTTCTGGACTGACTAGCCTGTCATACATGCGCAAACGCTTTTGTGTTTCCACTTGAACGCGAGGCTAGTCAGTCGAAAATCTAAATGATTGGTCATTGATTAGCGTGCTTTCATCGAGTTTTGGGTGCACGCGTGAGGTTGCTTAAGCACGAAGGAAGCGTAAGAGTCACACGAGGCGTAGCCAAGTGTAACTCTAGCTTCTTTAATGCTTAAGCAACAGACCAAGTGATATTCTAGACCATTTGTTAAGCTTGTGGGACATAGCAACGGTAACTAACGGGAGTCGGAGCCATCCACAATCTCCCTGAAGCAATGAGCTGTTAACATGAGTCCTTTCTTCCCCAGTCCTCGCTTTCTCTACATGTGGCCGAATTCTAGAATATCAGTCATGGGTGGTGAACAGGCCGCGACGGTTCTCACTACTGTGTCACGTGACCAAAGAGAAAGAGAAGGAAAAACGGTAAGCTTAATGGGTAGAAGTAAACTATCAGATGAAGGGCAGTGTGAAGGGAACAAGAAAAAGAGAGAAAATAAAAAATAAAACAACCAAGCTGTTAAAATAAATAAGTTCAAAAACAAAAACAAAAAAAAAAGAAAGAAAACAGCAACGACAGAAAAGATATTAGAAAATGAAACTATAGATTATTCTTCTCCTGTGTTAATACCAGCGAAATTATTCTGCACCTTGAAATAAAAAAGAAATTAACCCAAAAAGAAGACAGAGAGGCAAAGGAAAAAATTCTGCAACTAAATTTGAATCTTAGGAAGCTAAAAAAAATTTAAATTGTATTTTAACAGTTTAGTAAAGAAGAAGAAGATGCTATTAAAATACCAGTAATGGAGCGATATGAATTAGAAGGTCATCCTTATTTTTCTTCATCAAGGTAATAAAGATCTTTTGATTGTCATCAGGGGCGCATTATATTACAAGCATCTTTACCGTTAGCATCATCTCATGGATTAACGTTGTCTCCCTTCAAACCACCCATCCATCCATCCATCCATCCCTCCCTCCCTCCCTCCCTCCATCCATCCCTGCCCAGCCAACCAACCAACCCTCCTTCAATCCATCTATCTTCCACCTATCATCCATCCATCCTTCCATCCTTCCATCCCCACCAATGTCCACCCATCCATCCATCCATCCA